ACTATCCTTCCCACTCTTTCCCTGCTTTGCTTCATGCTGATAGTGCCCACTGAAATTCATCTCCATAATGGCACCACAAAGAAAAGATTACCCGCGCTGATTTTGTTAATGCAACTTGACTATTGTTTATGTGCTTGTAACAATTAAGAGTTAAGGGCACAGGAGGAAAAGGGCTGCATTAAGCTGCCCTGATCTGTGGTGATTTGTTAATGCTAGGTTTTCACCACTCGCCCACTCGCTGTCTGAGAGGATGAGCGAGTGCCGGGGCGGGAGGCTCATCCAAAATTGCTGTACTGTGTAACTTTGTAGCCAAGTGGGTATCTGTTGCAAAGCACTTCCAGATTTTTCTTAGTGTTGGTCGGTCACAATACAGAAAAGAGACAGCCCACATCATCTAAGAGGGCAACTTAAGAGAGCCATCTTTCACTATTAGTATTTGTACGGTATTGCAGAGTCAATACAGCTATGCAGCAATTTTTCTTTTTCAACTCACAGTTGGTTTCTAGATTAAGCAACTAATAAGTTGGCACAAGACTACAGATAACTGTCTGTCACTATTTCCTAAACCTAAGGTGACTTCATCAAATGTCTTGTTTGCTCAAGCACAGCCTAACCCAGTTTAGTTCAATTAACTATAATTCAAGCCAAGGAAAAAAAAGAGTTACTCGTTTGAGAAGCAGAAATCTTCAGCTGTTTAATGAATGCTAATAAACTTAAGCAATCCTCAAACTCTGTCAATATAGTGAATGATTAATTTTCCAAAGGTCAGTCTGATAAATCTATTGATTGCTGAACACGACATAATTTCACGTCCGTCCTTTTTTGTATGGTTCACAGTCAACCATTTGTTATTACCACAGTTAAATTCACTTATAGCTGATTGAATTATCTAATGACTATATGTGGGCACAGCTTGTCCAGTCATGTGGAGAGGGAAAACTTATGATTCACTGTTCTCATGAAGGTTTGAGTTAGATGTGACTGAATCAAAGGCAGGGACAGCTATAAGAGCATGTGACTGCCTGTCTCTATGCCAGGTGGGATAGACTCCTGTGGCTCCAAGTCCCCAAGTTGGTTAAGAAGATGGATGGATGGATGGATGATGGATGGATGGATGATGGGTGGATGATGGATGATGGATGGATGGATGGATGATGATGGATGGATGGATGGATGATGGATGGATGAGTCAAGAGTAAATTTACTTTAATTTATGTCTGAAATGCAAAAGCAGAGAAAAATGAGAAAGCAAATCTCTTCCCCTCTTTTCAGGTGATTGATGGAGATAGATATGCGCTAAGTGGTCGTCCACCAGAAGAAGTCTGCTCTAACTTCTGTTTATTGATTAGCTGAAGAGTGAGTGCTGCTGAGCCAACAAATCAGGCTAAAAGCGTTGGCTTTAATGGAGCAAACTTCACAGCCCCCTCCACTGTGGAGTTCCCTGTCAATCCCATGCCTCTCGGGATCATATAGGCAATTTAGGCATTACTGGACTCCACAAATAAAAAAGAAATAAGCAGACATGCAGGTGCCCATACGCTTTTTTTTTCCAGAGAGGCTCTCCTGATGGGCGCACAGGTGCAGGCTGTCAACCTGTTATCCAGAGTCATCAGCCTGTCAGTGTAACAATACACAGCATTAGAGGCGAGCATCCTGCTGCTCAGCACTGTGGCAAACATGTCAAATATCCTGCTGAGGTTGACAAACTTAGAGCTGCCATTCAATACTAGCACCTTGTGGCTTACAGCTCTGGGGAATTGTGGCAATCAACACATAGGTGCCCGCCCGCGTCATTGCTAACAACTCTTAACACAGCACCATACTTATCTTCTCGATTCTTTCTCTCTCACTCACTGCCCTCTCCACCTTATGCTCTTCAGCCTAGACTCAGCTGCTATATTACATTTCACCCACTCAGAGGAAATGGACACCCTTTCCATCAACCAGCAGGACCCGGTCTGCACTCATGTTCAAACCGAAAGAGCTGAAAGACCACGAGGCAAGTACCTGAAGCACATGACGGAAAATGTTCTAACCAAGGTGCTTTTTACAATGAAACATTTCAAATCATAAATTGTACTCGTCTTTTTCTGGCTTTTCCTTCAATCCTCCCTCCTTCCTTTCTTTTTCACCCTGACACCTTTTTCTCCACGATAAGTTCCTCCTTCTGCCACCCCGTTTGGCACTCTAACGCACTCTTACCCTCTGCATCTCTGTGCACTGCAGTGTTTTTCAGATAATGACTGGGAGCAGGACACTGCACAGCTCCCTCCTCTTATGCAATGGCCTCCACTGCACTGCCCCCGAAGCTGCTGAGTGCAGCACAAGTTCGACATGCAAAACAAGCTAGCAGAGAAGACAACGCTACAGAAGTAAAAAATAATAATGTTTTTAAAAAGTTTTTAATCCTTTTTTATTCTCCTTTCTTATCTTTGGTTTTGGTATTAAGGCTTAAGCAACTGAATCCACAACCTCAGGAATCCTCTGACAGTCTAAAGCAGAGGCTATGGGGTGAGCTGCTGGGAAGAGCAGGGATTCTGTATAAAGATTAAGCAGCAGAGGGGCAAAAGGATGCCAGTGTGATTAAAGTTAAGAAGTTCAGTGAGAGTATGGGAGGAAACACTGACGAGACGAGCGGAAGGAAGGCCATGAGGGCACAAGCGACATACACTTGAGTGCACATAAGCAGGAACTGTGCTGATTTTTAACTGTGGGCACTGCAACAAAGACATGTGCAGCAGCTCAACTCTTGTCGTC